CCGGGCAGATGTGGCTTGGCCCTGGTAGGTTACAAAAGGGGTCATGTCACCTCTGGGGTCTAAATCTGTCCCTGAGATTTGGGGTTGGGTTTTAGAGGTGGGAGACGGCAACACGAGACTTTGAAGCAAACTCCTGCTGGACGTGTTCAGTTGGAATGATGGGAGTGGGCAAACGCAGGTAGTGGGACATGGCAGAAGAGAAGTATCAGAGAGAAACCTATTTCTGAGTAAAGCAGCAAAGAAACACTACAAGGAGTATTGCAGTATTTCACGTCACTCCTTTCTTTGCTCAAAAAGAGACTTTTAACCCAAACAGATGAAATTTAAAACCCTATAGGAGACAGAGAGCATCCAGGCAGGAAGCTCGGAAGGACAAAAGGTCTCCAACAGTGTCCCATTCCCACAATATCTGTTCCTAATATCTGCTATCGATAGCCTTTATCAGGCTTTGATTGGAAAAAAACGTAGGGAAGAAAGTGTCGTGACTCTTTGAGATCTTTCCTCCGTCTGTGCCTCTGTCCCCATGTCTATATTGGGGAGGGCATCAGGATCTGTGTCTCCACTGATCTAACGCTCTGCTTTGGGGAGAAAAGTGTCTTTCTGCCCACTGAGCACACCAGGCCTGATCTCATCCAGGACTCTAGAGGCCACTATAATATTAATAATAGCACAGATTAAATTAAAATAAAATTCAGAGTCAAGGAGATTTGTTGCTAACCGATGGAGCTGAATCACTCGAACAATTGATACATGAGGAAATCAGAATGTGTCTGGTGATATTTCACAAACATCAGAAGAATGAAAACTCTTGTGAAACTATTATTCACGATGCACTAATTACACCCCAGATCACAGGGATGGTGACAAACACGTTTATCATTTCTCTCTGCGATAGAAACATCCACCTGAGCACGGCCTGGTGGGGAGGATGCTCTCACGTGTCAGAGACCTGGACCCATGTTCAAGACAGGACCGTACTGACCCTACAGCTGGTCTCTGAGCCCCGCATATCTCCTGCAAAGCTCCTACTTTTTGAGATAGTCTTCCCTGCATCCCTTGATCCTGTTCTGAATGGATGGCTGTTTTTTTCTTTGGGTATTTTGTAAGTTTTTTGGAAGGAATTGTCCTAATACAAGTAGTATTTGTTCCCCAGTTTGGATCATAGTTTCTGGGTGGCTGATATGTGGTCATGATTCTTCCATATCTCAGTTATTGATTTCGTATTTATGAAGGATATAAATGAAACACAGAAGAAACCCAAGATCATAGAAGGATCTGGGGGACACCTCAGGTACAAGTTCAAACCTCCAAATCCCTGATAGTTGATTTAAATACAAATAAGATCTCTCCTTTTTTTTTTTTTTTTCAGCTAGATTGCTCATGTGAAGTCCCTCTTGTTAGAGATTAGCCAAATCTATGTCAAAATAGCTTAAGCAGAACAACTCCTGCTGCTGGGTGTGGGAAGCGGGAGCTGCCCTCTGGAGGTGTCCTCCAACCCTCTCTTCCACAGCTCAGGAAGCTCCAGAAGAGATTCAAAAGCAGATTTGGATGCCTTTGCCATCCCCTCATCCTTTGCTGTGATAGTTTTGCTGACATTTTTCTTTCCACAGAGGTCCCCAAACCTTGCACAAGTGGTGTTGCATGCACTGGGGTAGCTGAGCCACTGCAGTCCACTGCACAGCCTGTGGGGTGGACATTTCGGCTGCCCCGGGGCTGGGCCACCCCACTGAACTGTGCATGGGATGGGAACTGTGTACTCTGCAATGTGCGCCGGCGTTGGCCTCTGCACATGGCTGAGGAAGAGGCTGGCAAGGAAGGCTTGCTGCATTGTCATGGCAGAGCATCTCGGCAGACCCGTGTGTCCACCTATAAAACCTCCATCCCAGGAAGGTGCACCCTGTGCCTCTTGTTACTTCTTTTCCTTATCCAGACTGTGCTGCAGGAGATATCTCCGCCATTAATGTTGCAAAGTGGCTGGTTCTGCGATGTGTCACATCCTGCAGGCTGGGCCAGACAGGACACCAGGAGATAGAGGTGATGGAGGCTCTCACCTGGGCTAGGTGAGGTGTGGGGAGCCACCGGGGACATGATGCTGTGAGTCGTTGACTCCAGATCCCTGCTTTGCTGCAACAATCCTTCCAAGTGATTCCTCTTCTAACCCTACCAGGCCAAAACTCACAAGGAGTTAGGGGCCTTTCACCCTGCTAGAGACAGCGGATCCAGCCAAATGTCCACCTGATGTCTACAAGCCCACTTCTAACTTCCATTTGAAATGTATTCCTGGTGAGATGATCCCCATTTCTCCCTGGGTCAAGTCTTCAGCTCTGAGAGGTCTCACCCCTCTCTGGTCTTAACCAACACCTCTCAGCCATCAGAATGGCACTGAGCATCACTGAGTATCAGTTGCTGAAGACACATAGGTCCTGCAGGAGCTGCCTACCTTGGGGTGAGACAACATCTGTCATACTTGGGATCTCTGAAGGTCTAATGGACCATAGACCTTCATTTCTCTTCCACCAGCTTTGGTATCCCCTCTTGCTCTGCACGAGCTGTGCCCATTCCTATTCCCAAATCCTCTTCCTGCCTTTTCTCCCCAGGGCTTGTTTTGGAGACTTCTGATACAAGTCAAACTGCACTCATTGCCTCGTCAGTGGATGAAATGATGTGTCAAGCAGACCGTCTCATTTATGACTCCCGGATGAATTGTGTGGGTTTTTTCACATTGTGTATTAGTATTTAATTGGTGCGTTGTATAAAGAGTCCGTGGTGAAAACTGTTAGTTACTTCTCAGTGAGGAAGTTGTCTGAAGTAGGAGCAGTAAGACACCAGGTTGAATCAACCAAGAACCTCAGTGTGAGAGTGAATGGGGATGCTGCAAACACCAGCGTTGGCCACAAGAAGGAACTGCAGCAATTCGAAGGGATGAAGTGGAAAACACTGATACAAGTGCATTATGAACCATAATTTTTTATTGCCTCCACATCTGCTGTGAAATAAGGAGATGAACAGCACTTAATATTTCACAGAGACAATGGGTTACACCTTCAAAGCACATTACAAGCAAAAGGACAGGAAGAGTGGAGATCTGTGAGGAACATGGGACGCGTTGACTATCAAGGCAAGAGTGAGAAGTTTCTGTCATTCCTCCCCACTCCTCATGTCCTCTACTTTATCTTCTGGGCTGGCACTTTGCAGACCTGCTTCTGCTGCTGGCTTGGGATGCACTTTGTCACGGGCACGCAGCCTTGCTGCACTGGAGGGGGACAGGTCTGCACCGGAGGGGGACAGCTCTGCACTGGAGGGGGACAGGTCTGGACCGGGCAGCACTGTGGGATTTGCTGTCTTGGCTTGCTGTAGCACGGCTTGCCCCCCTGGTACCCTGATCCGTGGCACGTCTCGGAGCAGACCGACCTCCCGTAGCTGTGGCATCCCCCTGATGATCCATAGCTGTATGTTGGTCTCCTGACACAGCTTGAACCACCTCCAGAGCAAGAACCTGAGGACCCATGGTATCTCTCAGAGCAGACTGACCTCCCATAGCTGTTGCATCCTCCTGATGACCCATAGCTGTATGTTGGTCTCCTGACACAGCTCGAACCACCTCCGGAGCATGAACCTGAGGACCCATGGCATCTCTCGGAGCAGACCGACCTCCCGTAGCTGTTGCATCCTCCTGATGACCCATAGCTGTACGTGGGCCTCCTGGCACAGCTTGAGCCCCCGCCTCCATGGCATGAGTCAGATGCAGCATAGCCATGGCATCTCTCGGAGCAGACTGGCTGCCGATAACCGTAATGCCGGTAGTTGTGCCCTCTCATGCCTTCAACACCTTCGCCTTCACACCCCGAGGAGCAGGTGTTGTAGCCGTAGCAGAAGGGTGTGCGCCGGGTGTCCAGCCAGGACCCCGAAGGATCATACCAGGTTGAATTCAAGTTGAAGTATGATTCTCTTCCAGAAGAGTATGTCATGTTTGAGTTGTAGGGAGAAACCTAGAAAACACATGGCCAGATAGTCTTGCAATTCCATCTCCTCTGTTTTCTGCTCATTTCCCATAAAGCTGCTCTAGAGAGCCATTCAGAGGTCAACCTTGCTTATCCTGAAAGCCTGAATCTAAAGGAAATTTTTGCTGTTGCCCAGTACTGGTCATATTACGCCCAAACCCTTTTTTTGACCTTACCCGTGATTTTTTTCCCCTCCAAGAACAGAAATGACATAAGGCACTGCAACACACAGTGACACTACAGTAAATCCCACACCCAAGTCCCCCAACAGCTTCTTTCTTGGCTTAGCGCACTGTCCTCTAGCCCTTCTGTGTAGACATCGCCTGAAGGACAGTGCAAGCGTGCAAGGTCCGTGATCTCCTGAATCCAGACACCCATCCAAAAGTGAACCTGGCTGCTCCAGGATGTGTCTTACCCAATTCACGAGGGAAGGCAGATGCTGGCCGGGAGAGCAGATTGTGAGAGGCAAAGAGACGCAGACCTTTTATATGGTTCCAAGTGTTCCGCTTGTAAATGAAACACGTTGCAGGAACGAGGACTAAATTATTTATTGACAAAACATCTTCTCCATTTGGATGCTGTTCCCAGCACTTGACATGTTCTGCTTGACTCATGATTCCTGATAAGCATCTCTTAATTATAATGGAGTTACCGAGTGGTGCACATAAAGGATTCGCACTGTTTAAGCCACACATTGGCTACGTGAGGCGGGTAATAACGTGCTTATTCACCATCTTCAGAGGACGGAGACACTGAGTGGACACTGCTGGGTGACCTGTGAGTCAGGAGCCATGATGTGCACAGTGGTAATGTCCTGGCCTTCCCCTTCTGCTACCCGTGAGGAGCATTTCCAGGTGCCTGAAGCACAAACAGGTGATTGAGAAGACCCAGCTCAGTCACCAAAAGCAAATTGTGCTGACGGGTTTCAGTGATGAAGAGGTTTGCTCCGCAGATAGTGGAGTGCGATGGATGGTGCTACCTCAACCTTTGCAAGCCTTTTGGCACAGTCTCCCATGACAGCCTAGTAGTTAAACTGGTAGAGGTATGGACTGGGTGGGTAAACTACATGGTGGGTGAAAAACTGGCTGATACTGGCGAGGGAGCTGTTTAACATCTTCCTTAATGCCCCGGATCATGGTGTGGACTTGGAAAATCTACAAGTGCCACCAAATTGAGGTGAGCAGCTGAAATTGCCAGAGGACTGGACCTGGGCAGGCTGGAAAAATAGTCCTGTGGCTGGGATGGGCTAACTGGGATGCGAGGGCTGGGGTGGCTGGTGAAAAGCATCTGGGAAGAAAAGATGGACCCAAGCTGACCTGTAAGCGCTGGCGTGAGGGCTAAGCTGGGCCTTGGTCTGTGGGCTCTGGGTCAGACCTTCAGACACCACGCTGGGACCGTGCCTGGGAACTGGCTTTGGCGAGAAGGGGCTGGGAAGAGAACAGCTAATAAAATAAGGGATTTCTACAGTTAAAGTTCATAAGTAAGTGACTTTTTGTTTGGTTAAAATTGGATGTGAGAGAAATAAATTGTTGTGGTTTTCTGCATTAAGGAAACAAGAATGAATTTGTTTTTTTCTTTCTGGTTTTCCTTGGTGGTTGCTAGCGGCTGCGAGGACACGCTGGGGCTATGCTTAGGCAACACAAAGAAACAGCAGTATGTATTTTAACGCACCAAAAGGAGGGATTTTTCCAAATTGAGAGAGAAACAGCTCATTCCCAGTGAGCCTGCAAGAGCCAAGCAGCGGGGAGCTGCGGGGGAAGAGCCTGCCTGTACGTTCCTGCACGGAGTGAAAAGGCATTCCCGGCACGCACAGACACACCTCACGTGCTGGGGCACACGCTCATTACTGTGATTAATGTTTGTATGACGGATGGCCTCCCGGTGCAGTGTTACTATCCGGCTGATGAAGGTGATGGCACACATGATGGAACAAACTGTTTGTAGCCAGATCCTGGCTGATGGACCATGGTGAAATCCATCCGTTGATTCTGCGGTGGGTAACCACAGTGGAGAGGGTTTTCCAGCACGCGGGTGAAGTTCAGCCTGGTGAAACTGCTACAGCCAGAGCTGAAATCCCGATGTGTGAACTTTTATTTTGATTTTAAATTTGCAAGATTCCTGGTGAGAATTTTAATGACTTTTAACATCTTCCTATTGTAAAGTGGGTAATATATTTGTGGGTAAAAATACAGGAACCAAGTGTCAACTAAATTTTTTCAACTTTATTCTTGAATACACAGGGAGAAAATAAAATTGCAGGAGTCCTTGATGCTCTTGCGGTCACAGTGTGTACTTTTTTTGCAGTACGGTCCTGTCTCTGTTTTCAAACAATCTTGAAATCACAGTCGGGTGAGCCCACAGGACATGGTGAATCCAAGGTAGGTGGATTCCTTGTCCTTGCTCAGGCTCTTTCTGTTTGGTTTCTCCATCCCCAGGCTGCTCATCTTCTCAGAAGAGGGGAGAAGCGGCTGCTCTACCCTAAGGAAGAGAGAGGTCATGTTTGGAAGATTAAAGGCTATTCCCTTGCAGGGAATTTAAAGTGCCAGTGCTGGGGTCAAGCAGGGGACTGTGGACCCTGAATCCAGTGTGCGAAGAGCAACAACGAGCCTTTAGCCACGGCAGCATTGCATCATGCTGAAAGCGGAGCGAAGCATCTCCCACTCTGAGCAGCGTGTGGGCACATGCTGGGGAGAGGTCCCAGCGCCTCGCTGGCCCCGTGCTTATTTCTTCTGCAAACAGGGTGGCAAGAGAGGAACCTGCTTCTGCTGGTGCTGAACGGGCTGCGGCGGCAGGGGCACAGTGGCCGGGCAGCAGCGCTGGACGGGTGGGCAGCAGCAAGGGATGCAGGGGCAGCGATGCTGAAGATGCCGGGGATGCAGCATCACGGGGGGACAGACATCCTCCACGGGGCACTGGTCCACTCGCTGCCGGGGTTTACCACAGCAACCCGGCTCCTCGCAGTGCAGGGGTGGCCGGTACTGCTGCAGCGGCCGGCGATGGATTTTCACGGGTGGGGGGCAGACGGGCTGCACATGGCTCACCTCCACCCGCCGCCGGGGCTTGCCGAAATCGCAGCTTTGCTGTGGCGGGCAGCAGCTCCGGGGTGGGCATGGCTCCATGGGCTGGCAGGCTTGCGGCTCGCTCTGGCAGGACCCCTCGATGTCGCGGCTGAGGCTGCCGGGGTCGTGGCAAGGGGAAAGGTCCACAGGGCTTTCGTGGCAGCACCCTGTGGAACTGTGCCACGTCCAGCCCTTCTCACCGCAGACCGAGCCTTCATGGCACAAGTCCTGGTCACTGTCGCCTTTACAGTAGTGCATCCTGTGGCAGAGATGGCCAAGCCCTTGGGGATAAACAGTCTGGGAAAAAGAAAAAAACCCACTAACTTCTTTTTTTCGCTCTTTCTATGAAAAAAATTGAGGAATCCGAGACAGCTGAGAGAATCCAACTCACCCAGTGACCGGTGACAGACAGGCAGTGTGGGGATTCCAAATCCTGAGGACAGTGCTGGGGCCGAAAGCTTTTATATGCGGCTGCGCTCTCTTAGAAATGAGGCATGCCACGGGAATTAATAGCTGAGCAGTGAGTGCCACGTCTGTACGTATATTTTTTCTGGCACTTGCTATTGGATTAATCAGCTGCAATTAGCATGTCTCTTGATGCAATATCAGCTTAGCTCTTTGCATATGCAGCGGCCATTATCGAATTAGTTCTCCCACCGGTCATGTTCAAATACGCTATTACCTAATGTTAGTCAGATGGGATCCTGGGATAAGGATACCTGGAATGCCGTGATGCTGAGTGATGTGCCTAAAAGGAGTCTGTCAAGGCAGTGGGAAAACCACAGAAAAGCCCAGAAGTCCTGGTGTTCAGTCCCATGCCCCGGTACCCAGCGGCTCATTCCTTGACACAGGCAGTTGAGGCAGAGGTGTGCAAATGGCAATGGTTTTTCATAGGGCTGAAAGAAAACAGAGAAAAATCTATTATAAAGAAAAAACTAGTAGAACAGTGAGATACTGTTTTCAACAGAAGTGATGGATTTTTGAACTCTATTTCAGCTTAACAAGACCCTGATCCACCCTAAACCAGGAACTGCTGTGTTTGTGGTGTGTTCCGCGGAGCTGGGTTTTTTTCCGCAAATTGCTCTCTTGGTGTTTTACGCACAGCTGGAAGCCCAGCCTGATGCTCAGCAGAGATGAGATGATTTTACTGCCTCTTCTTGCCCATTCTTTGTGCCAATGGACCATGGTCTGCAGCTGGAAGCAACTGATGATAGAGCAGGGGCTACACTCAGTTACCTTTTGTACTTACATACAATCAGAAATGGGAAAACCTCTTTTCATTATGCTAGCTTTGCGAAATTGTGTTTTTCTTTCATAAAGCTGGACTCTAAGTGGACTTTTTTTATCATGTATGAAATATTCTGAAGTCTGGATTAGCAAGGTTCAGGAATAGCATCATCTGAAACTTAGATTTTAATGCTCCTGTTCTTTAAAAACAGACTTCAGGTTTTAATTAACAACATTTTCCTGATATGATGACCTTTCTTCATGGAGTACCTCGGCACTGAAGTTGCAGAAGAAATCTAAAAAAGCGTGGAGAGCACAATTCTTTAAAAACTGCAATTTCCGCGAAACAAAGCCATCTTCTGACATGGAAAATGTTACCAGTCAACAGGGACTTTTTCTTCTTGCATAAGCTTCCATCACAAAAATCCGGCTTTTGATTTGCTGGCGGGAAGTTGAAATTTTCTGTGAGAAATCACAGGAGGTTTTCCAGCTGGCTTCGCGGATGGGGCTGCGGGTTGGACCTGGTTTGTCAGAGAAGGTCTGTGATATCTGGACATGATCTCATCACCTTCCAGAGAAAGCTGATGGTCAGTGAGATGGTGAGAGAATCAAGGGTGACATCAGGACCATGATGAATGGCAGATGTTGCCCTATGTGTAGTACGGATGACTGGAGGAGGTGAACTCTGAGTACAGGGTCCCTACGGACACCAGCACAACAAGCACAGGGGTGGACTGCGTCAGGCAGTGGATGGAATATATATTCCCCTATTTAAATTAATTAATTCCCTTCCAAATGACCTTGGTCGAGTGAGTGGGTACAACACCGAAAGCCCTTTTATGCGCTGCAAATCTGGAATGAGGATGCCACGGGGGTGTGCTGATCTCACGAACTAACAATTTCAGGCTTCGTCAAGCACCATATCCACTTTTCTGACATTTCTGCTTTGACTCATTTTCTGTGTAGCTGCTCCATTTTGCATTTACGTGGACGGTCATGGCATTTTTTAAGTACCAGCAAAGTATCCCTCACAGCAGCCCCGGGGCTGTCAGCACAAAAGGCATTTCCATGCATTCACTTCGTGGTAGAACCTCTGTAGGGATGCTCAGAGGTTTGTGCAGTGGCGTTTGCGTTTGAATCACTGGGAAAAGCATGTGCAGAATTCAGGGGTGTGACTCCAGGGCACGCGCTTGGACCTGACTTCGCTGCAGCTGAGGTAATTTATTCTTTAGCTACAGGAAAAACTTCATTGCCTTGCAGGAAGCCACAGGACTTGCATGTAAGGACAGAAAAAAAGAAAAACTTGGTATCTGTTAAGGGCCAACAAGGATTTTAGATTTATGACTCGTTACCGAAATCCCAGGATTATGCTGGTTTTGATTTTTTTTCATGTAAGAAGAGATATTTTGGAGTCACTTCCCTTCTGGAGGATTTTAGAAATCGCAAAGTGCAAATATTTAATTTCTGAATCTGATCTCTTAAAATTTGGCACATTTTAATAGAGTTCCTGGTGAAATTAGATGGTATTCCTGAATCCTTCAGGCTAGACTTGTATCTCCACATCTTTCAATTACTCTCTCCCTCCCTGCAGCATGAAGACCATGCTTGCTGGTGTGTTTAATCTTACTGACAAGATATCAAGCCTTTTAAGAAGCCTACTTTAAAGTTCAGCAAATTATCTTTCTTTTTTGTGATTTCCGTTAACAAAAAAGACCTTTACGACTGTACAGATGCTTCGATTGCAGACTGTGCACCTTCGAGGTAGTAGGTAGGGGAAAGACAGCATTAAAATGCATGGCCAAGAGGATACTCCTGGAGCTTAGATAATGTACTGACACTAGCAAGCACGATCTTTCCCTGGATGAGAGACTGATCCAAGAAGTTCAGTGTATGAGCTGGGGTGCTGTCACCAGTAGCATGAGTAATAGTTGAAAAATTCATTATGTTGAGAAATAAAAAAGTCCCAGACAAGAGCTATAGTTTAAAAGACAAAGATAAATGAATAAACATCTACCAGAAGTCTGCAGTGTCATAACTTACAACTTTTATTGTCTTTCATGATTAATTGGAGATTAAAGCAAGAAAAGGCAGTATGATACATCGACAGCGTTAAACGTCCCCCACACCAAGAGGAAAAGTAACAGCAGGACTAGTGCCTACTAAGGGAAATCACACTGATAGTTGGGTAGCAACTTCACAGCACATTACAGGTATTTGGTAACTAAAGGCAGACAAAGAAGAGGAAAGGTGATCTACAGTCTCTAAGCAAAAGAGGAGGTGCATTCAGGGCCGTATCCATATCCATATCCATATCCACATCCGCAGCAGGCCTGCATGGGCATGCAGCAGGTCCTGGGGTAGCAGCACTGCATGGGCGAGCAGCACATCGGTGTCTTGCATCCCTTTGGGCTGCCGTAGCAGCACACGGTGTAGCCGCCGTTGTTGTTATTTCCACCGCAGCATCCACAGCCTCCGTTGGCCATGTTGTTGGTAGTGGTGTAGGCGAAGCTGGAAGGAACAGAGAGAGTCTGTCTGTGACTGGGAGCAGGACATTTGGAAATACAGAGTTAATTCAAAGCTCTGTTTGTGCTAAATTTGGAGATTCAAGGAGTTGAAACCAGGTGTTTGTGAAGAACTTGCTCATAACTCTTCTCTCTGTCTTTCTCCTGCAATGTAGATGCCCACCTACTTGTCCCAGGGCATCCCTAATATCTCAGCAAGAATCACACAGCACAGTGCACACAGCCCTTGGTCTGGGCCCTCCTGAAACGTCCTTGGTCCCCTTTCTCTGCATGGCCCTCCTGATACTCCTGTAGCCTCTCCATTCTTTTATGCTTATAGCTTGTGCCCATAATTCCAAGTATACAGTTGATAAAAGCCCAACGTCAGTGAAAGTCCCAGTCCAGATACCTGGTTATATGTGGATACTATTCTAAAGTATCCATAGCGTTTTTTTTTGTTTTGTGAAAATGAAGGAAGATTTAAATGTTCTCACTTACCCTGGTGAAGAGTGAGGAGAGGTGAAGGGAAGAGAGGATGAGCGAATGAAGTGAGCTGGGCCTGGAGACCTTTTATAGTCCTAGACATCTTCCTCATGGAAGTGAGACAGCCATTGACCATTCGTGCTTCACTGCTTACTAACCCAAACCCATACTTTTTAGCTATACGTGTCTTCTGGTATTTACTCTTTGCCTTATTACCTGTGATCACTACCTTTGTTTTGCCTCATAATTGTTTAACCTGCAGATAATCAAAGGGCTTCTGTGAATACTAATGAATTTGTCCTCTCCGCAATCTTGCCAGGGAGCCAAAAAATGCGTCCTCGTATCTGTTTGACGAACGCAGACAGTGACGGCCAAAGATGCTAAGTGACTTACTCAGCAGCGGCTGGTGCTGAATCAGTGTAAGAACCGAAACTGAACCCCTGGGTTGTCTCTTTCGGGCAGGTGATGGGCTGTTTCGTCGGACTCGTGTTTGAAACAAATATTTGGAGAATTTCAAGGAAATAGGTATGCTTGTTCCCGGTCACAAGACATGCACGTGAGGAGGGAGCAAGAAGACCATGTGTCTGGGACGTGTCGGGAGTCATGCCTGCTCCTGGGTCTCAGTCACCTACACGTGACTCCATGCAAGATCATCCTGCCCTCATGCATGCTAAGAGCATCTTCGTGATGCCAAAACCATCTCTGTCTTTCGGCTTGCCTAAATGTTTACAAATCCTCGGATCTGAGGGATGAAGTTTGCATGCAGCCATCACTAGATGGACGAGAGTGCTTCAGTTCCTGCTCTGCTCTGCTGGGACTGCTTTCCTAAGCATCTGAATTGAATTTGCCTCACTTCAGAATATGTTGCATTTTAATTAAAAGGTTAAGGGGCAGCAGTGCCTGTGCAAATGGCACTGCAAGGAGCCATGGCTCTGAGGCCTGGTATGATGCATTGCAAGTCAACATCTCCCTCCCGCGAGCTCTCCTTGCGACCAGGTGAAATCCCCTTGTGTGCTGGAGCCCTAGCACTGAACAGACCACCCCTGCCTGGCTCCTCAGCAGGGAAGAAGCGGGATGTGGAGTTGAAGGCTGTGCAGGACTCTTGGTGTGTGTTGGAAGTGGTAAATGAGGAGCCCGGCATGGACCGAGAGGGAGAGAGGAGGCTGAAGGTGGAAGAGATACGACCAGATAACTGGTCTTAACTGCGGTCATGGAGGTAAGTGGGAGGCAGGGACTCAAAAGTGATGCAGGAAGAGACGGTGTTGAGGTGGAACCATTTTCTGGGAGGGAGAGAGGAAGAGAAGAAGGTCAAGGTAAGGCAGAGCCTTGGGCAACTGAGCCAGGGTGGATGAATACTTGTTGAACACCAGCCACTGCCTCCAATGCACTTTGCTGTGGGGCTGAATGCTGGCGGGAACACAGGGTATTTGGGAGGAATTTTTTCCACGGCCTAAAATTGCAGCTCTTGTTTGAAGACCTCGCCACATTATCCCCAGTGGAGTGCTGCCTAATAAGAGGATGGCGGAGCCTGCCTGGCGAGTTCCTTGCCTGCTGCCTGACATCCTCTGGGATCCCTGGAGTGCTCCAAAGGGTGCTGCTCCTAAATGAGCTCTGTTAGTCCTGAGGATGCTAGCAGGGGCCTTGGTTTGCTTTCTGCACAGTGCAAGGGGGAGCTGATTGAGATTTTAATGCTGCTTTGCCCCTGCAGTAAATGCAGGCAGCTCCTTTCCAGAAATCCCTGGAATGAGAGTAATTCCTTGAGCAAAATGCAGGAGCAGCAACATATGTAATTGCAACTTCTCCAGACAGGGTAGAAGAACATGAATGGCATTTCCTTTCCAACAGGTCCCCTCTGAGAAGGCGTACACTTGCCTTCCCATGAGAAATGATTTATTTATAAGGAATTAATTGGGTAGAATCAAAGACGCACACTTCACTTGTGCCTCCAGAGGGGAAGTTCTCATCGGTAAATCCTGCAGCTGTCAGAAGAAGTGATGATCTAGGTGGGCATTTCCCACCCACAACGGTCGTGTCCAGCCATTTGTGTAACCCAAGTACTCAGATGCTCTTTGGTGAGCGGGCTACAGATCCTAATGCAAAGAAGGGACTGAAACAGTGTGGAAACAGTCAGTAAAGTGCATTAGACACAGACTGAGCCCTGCAGTGCTGATCTTGCATGTTATGTCTTGGGACAGCTCTCACTGACCCAGTTGCTCTGAAGATGGTGGAGGTTTCTCACCATTTGTTCTAACACTTCAGCTTGAGATCTGGTAACCCAGACATTTTAGCAGAGGCAAGATCTCCATCTCATAAATGTCAAACTATTTATATGGACTGTCTGTAGGTGCTGAAGTAGACTTCTAGCTGGTTGAAATACATGGAGCTTTCCTAGTCTGGATGTGCCTGTGTCAAACTGTTTCAGAAGAAATCCACATACTTTACAAGTTTGTGTATTATTTTCTTCCTCTTTCTTTGTAGTTTTACAATGAGAGCAGAAATGTTGCTCTCAGAGATGCCAGACACTCTGCTTGTGTTTGAACAGACCCAGGTAGAGGCTTAGAGCTGCATCAGGGATGCACTGATCTTCTTTGTAGGCAAACCTCCCCTGTTAGCACCTTCTAGATAGGAGGATCCCAACACTGGAAGAAAATGCAAAGAAAACGTAGCAGGTGTGATGATGCACTCTGGATGCACCAGCTAGCAAAAATAACCACCAGAAATTTTGCAGGGTTATAAAGTACAGATTTTATTGGGATTTTTCAGACAGATTGAAGGAAAACAGTGATGAAAAGAATTAAACCTCCCCCACAACAAGAGGAAAATTAACAGCAGTACTAGTGCCTACTAAGGGAAATCACACTGATAGTTGGGTAGCAACTTCACAGCACATTACAGGTATTTGGTAACTAAAGGCAGACAAAGAAGAGGAAAGGTGATCTACAGTCTCTAAGCAAAAGAGGAGGAGCGTTCAGGGCCGTATACATATCCATATCCATATCCATATCCACATCCAACACCGCAGGAGCCAGGAGGGCAGCAGCAGGCAGCGCAGCCCTGCCCGCCCTTTGCTGAGTGGGTTTAGTTGCCGCAGCAGTTGCAGCAGCCACCGTTGTTGTTGTTGTTACTGCTGATGGTGTAGCAGCAGGCCTGCATGGGCATGCAGCAGGTCCTGGGGTAGCAGCACTGCATGGGCGAGCAGCACATTGGTGTCTTGCAGCTTCTTGGGCTGCTGTAGCAGCACACGGTGTAGCTGCTGTTGTTGTTATTTCCACCGCAGCATCCACAGCCTCCGTTGGCCATGTTGTTGGTAGTGGTGTAGGCAAAGCTGGAAGAAACAGAGAGAGTCTGTCTGTTTCTCTACGTGAAATTCCCAGTTGCTTATGCAGCTTAAAGCATGCTTCTCCCAAAGTACATCTCAAACTGGCTGGGGAAGTCCCCACTCTCCAGAAACCCATAAAAACCTGTCCCTGAGATCGCCACAGTTTCGCACTGGCCACCAGTGCATTTGGCGTATTGTCCAGCACTGGTTCCATCAGAAAGAAGCCACCCAGGTGGATCCCAAACTCAATCCCTCAAAACTGATCCCCAACTAGACAATACAGGAAATGATAGATGGCTTCCTGCAAGAACGCACAGAAGCCCGGTAGAGTGCAAATGAAAAGGCAAGTAGTGAGCTCTGACTTACCCTGTTGACCGGTGAGGACAAGGAAGGAGAAGTCAAAAGGAGCGAATGAAGACCACTGTGATGGGGAGCCTTTTATATGGTTCAACGCCACCCCCCTGTAAATGAGGCATTCTTTGGCAATTCTGACTTCACCGTGTATCACCCAGTGTATGCCTCTCATGTGTCTTCCGGTATTTAATCTTTACCTCTTTCTGCTTGCTCACCACCTCGGTTCTGCACCGTAATTACTTGTACATGTAAACAACAGGTTTTCTAATGAATTTGCATTCATGGGAATCAGAGGTAGCTGTAAGGTATTCCTATCCACTTCCCAAGGAACGACCTTGAGACACAGAAACACTTCACAATGTGCCCGAGGGACGCGGGTGCTGAAGCAGTGGGAGAACCATGCCTGGAACTTGGAAATGTCGCTGCTCACGTGTTCCCTCTGCACTAGGCTGGGATTTTGGGGGACTGATGGAAACTATTGATCAAGGTGAATCCTTTTTCCTGCCTCTGAGAAGTGGTTGTGTGGTCAAAATTAAGACTGAAGAGTTTCTCCTTTCTCAGTCTTGTTCTTGGGTCTTCCTCCATGGTGTTTGGTCCTCACATGCCCTGCTTTTTATTTCTGCTAAACTATTCTGAATTTTTTTCATTTTCATGCATGGAAGGGATGGATGAAGTCTAAATTAAGCAGCTTTCAAAGTAGTAGTGCACACATTAGCTTTTTTCTGTGTCATTTCCATACTCTCCATTTTCTGAGATTATTTCTAAGGTCTGTGAGACTGAGACAGCTGGTATTTAATGGTATTTGTGATATCACATTTGACTGTTTCACACTAACCGTTTGATTCTGTGCCACTGTAGGTAAGCGTGAGGTTCAAGACTTGAAATCCAATCCTGAGTGCATTTCTCCATGCCTGTCCTGTGTACCTTGGGAACCCAGCTAGTCTCTCACGGATGCTCTGAGTTCACAGATGCACAGGACTTTTCCAGCAATTGCTTAGAGTTGTTCTGGCTGCAGTGTGCTAAGGCCAAGGCTGCTGTGACTGCAGAACTTGACCGAACAGTCAGGAGGGAATGGATAAGATGGTTGGAGTCAAGGCAGATGTTACGAAAGAGGCTTGGGGATGGAGGAAGGAATTGTGGCCACGTGCAGAGCCAGAGCAGGCCAACGTGAGAAAAAGAAGGTGCTGACGGAGTTTTCATCTGATGAGAGGAGACATCAAATATAAGATGAGAGTCCCAAGATGCTGAGGCAGCATCGATTCATGGCAAATAAAGGCTGCCATCATGTTCATTAGACACTGAATGTGAGGCAGGTGATCCATCGTGGCTGGAACACGTAATTTCTTCCCAAGATGTGAACATGACCTCCCATGACGTTGGGTGTCTCTTCTGGAATTGTCCCTAGGGGAGCATTGTTTCGGTCATGTGATAATAGCCAGATACCTGCCTGCAGGAAGTAATGCCGGCCTTGTGTAAATCCTCAGTCATGCCGTCCACTGAAGAAGACATTCATCGCCTTTTTATCGGAGTTTATTGTCATTATACTGGCCAAGATGGTCCCTGTGTTAGAATCATAGAATGGTTTTGGATGGGCAGGGACCTTTAAAGGCCATGTAGTCAAACCTCCCTGCAGTGAGCAGGGACTTCTGCCACTAGATAAGGTTATTCAGAGCCTCGTTCAATCTGACCGTGAATGTTTCCAGGGATTGGCATCGACCACCTCTCTGGGCAACCTGTGCCAGTGTCTCACCACCCTCAGCATAAAAAAATCTCTTCCTTATATCTAGTTTGAATCTCTCCTCCTTTAGTTTAAAGCCATTGCCCCTTGTCCTATTGCTCCAGGCCCTGCTAGAAAGTCTGTCCCCGTCTTTCTCATAAGCCTTCCTGAAGTACTGAAAGGCCACAATAACGTCTTCTCAAAGCCTTGTCTTCTGCAGCCTGAACAACCCCAACAGTCTCAGCCTTTCCTCATAAGGGAGGTGTTCCAGCCCTCAGATCACTTCCACAGCATTCTCTGGATCCACTCCAACAAGTCTTTCTTAGAAAACGGATGTGAACCCTGCAAGGCTGTTGTTGATCAGGGTCTTACACAAGTATTGAGGAGATACTGGCACTTAATGTGTAACTGGATCAGAAATAACATCTAAACTAAATCCCTTTTACGTGCCATGCCATGCCATGCCATGCCATGCCATGCCATGCCATGCCATGCCATGCCATGCCATGCCATAATGGCTTTGTAAACTTCCATGGTGGTTATGTGAATTTGAGAGCTGCAGAACTTTGGTGAACAGGGAGGAATCTGTCCTGGCAACTTTTCGAGCATACGATGAAATAAATATTCACAAGATTTCCTTAACAGAATGCACTTCTGATATAGTCTGGTATGGTATAGGATATCCTTCCGCCAATGTATTTTACCCGATTTACCTATTAATCAAAAACTGCTAAAGACTTGAATACTCTTTTCAACTGAGTCTAAGGTGGTAGAGAAGATCATTCCAGTGCAGACTTTGTGTATGCTCTGAAGGTTCGGCTGAGGGAAGCAATCAAGAGAGTGCTCAAGGCATTTTCTTGAGATGTGCAATTCAGAGCTGAGGCCTGAATTTAAATAGTAAAGGAAGTCCCAGCCAAGTAGAAAGGGTATTGTTGACTCATGTGTGTGCTATTTTAGGAATGAAGCTTTTAAGTTGTATGCTAACACCTGGGTTTCATTCCAGCGCTGGTAATCCAGGAACGCCACATAGGAATATCTCCGCTCGCATAAAAATAATTCACCAATTTATGTTGTTTTCTGAAGTTTTATTTTTGAAGATGGTAGTGGAAGAAGATGGCGCCTGCTATTCAGTGAGTAGTGAATTCCTCTCAGTACCTATTGAAATACCTACTCCAGTATCAGGGATGGAGTTTTGTACCTCCTACGGAGTGGTGTGTTTTCAGATGGTGCAATTATGCATGCTTCATCCAGTCTGTGTCCTCGGAGTTTTATTTACCTTAACCATTGAGTTTCATAGTAAAAATTGAGCTGAGGCAGATGATCAGTAGCTGCAAGAAGGGACCATACCGCTTTGCTTTCTGTCTTTAGACGCGACCTAATTTCTGCCAGTGTGAAGTATGGTTGGGCAGCTCTTCATCTCTGAAATGTTCTGCTGTGCCACAGGAGCACACCTTTAGCCAGCAGGATGCTGGCTGAAGGCACAGAAAACAACACCAGAATGAGGACATGGTCTGGGCAAAGTGAGGTAAGAAGAACCAAAAGACAAGATATTTTGCGTTTTGCTTAATGCTAAATTTTATTGTCTACAAGTCAAGGAGAAAGTGAAGAATGATCACATTAACAGCAAAGGTGTCCCAAGTCCCATACACCAAGAAGAGAATTAACAGCCACACTAACATCTAACAGCTCTTTGCCTTGTACAAGGGGTGATACATTCAAGTGCATTGCAGATGTTCAACGATTAAAGGACAGAAAGAAGACGACAGCTTAAATTTGAAAACTAGAAGAAAATCGCTAGATATTTGCTCCATCATCATGTGAACCAGAAGCGAATGAGCAGGTTTTCACCTGCTTGTGCTCGTTCTTGTTGCACACCAGAGATGGGAGCCAGCAGAGCTGCTTTTGCTACCCGGAATTGGCTCAGCAGCTCTTCTTGATCGAGGTGCAGCACTGCTGGATGGGTATGCAATACTTCCTGATGGGAGAGCAGTATTGCACGGGGCTGCAACACACCACAACGGGCTTCTTCTTCACCACGTAGGAGCAGCAAGACAGGCATCCACAGCAGCAGGGCTGGCAGCCAGAGCAGCAGCAGGGGCGCTGGCCACCGCAGCAGCAGGGCTTCTCGGCCACCTTGGG